CGAGCTCGCCGCGGCGAGCTCGGTGGCACCATTGACTGAGTTCTCCAACACTCCCACTACTCGAGCAGTCTAAAGGACTCTATAGCACCTCTGGTATCAGTGACGGCAAGCTCAGCCCAGAGATCTCTGTCAGCCGTGTATTCTCCATGGGGCTCAGCGCCTTTGTGAGCCCATCTGCTGCTTGTGCAAACGACTGGATGTACTCGAGCTGAATGACTCCTCGCTCAACGAGCTCTCGCAAGTAATGGAAGCGGATGTCAATCTGCTTTGAGCGAGTGTGTGCAACTGGGTTCTCAGCGAGCACAAGGGCAGCTCGGTTGTCACCATAGAGGAGGGTTGATCCAACCTGTTCAAAGCCGAGCTCGAGAAGTAGGGATCTAAGCCATACTACCTCCCGAGCAGCTTGAGACATAGCCACATACTCAGCCTCACCTGTGGCGATCGAGACACTAGGCTCACGCTTTGAACACCAGCTCACTGAGCCACCAGCAAGCGTAAACAGGAAGCCACTTGTGCAGCGTCTCCTGCTTAGATCGCTGGAGGCAAAGTCAGAGTCACTGTACCCAAGTAGGTTCTCGCTCGGGCGAGCAAATGTGATCCCGAGCTGGCGAGTACCTTGGAGGTACCGGTACACATGCACCATGGCATTCCAGTGCTCCTCAGATGGATCACTGGCAAATCGAGAGAGAAGCCCAACAGCGAACGCAATGTCTGGCCGTGTTCCAAGCATCAAGTACATGAGCTGGCCAAGGGCAGTCAGGTACCGAGCTCGGTCAGCTCTGTCTTCACTATCCCCCCGAGCTCTGAGCACAATCCGAGCAGGCAGGGGGGTCTTGGCCGACCTGCATTCAATCATGTCAAGCTTCTTGAGGATCGAGTCGACATAGTGTGATTGAGAGAGCCTGAGTGAACGGGTACTTCGATCTCGGGTGACCTGCAATCCCAAGATGAAGCTGAGCTCGCCGAGATCCTTCATCTCAAACCGAGCAGACATCTCCTGCTTGAACTCGTCTATGGTGGCGAGCTGCTCGGCAACAATCGTGAGGTCATCAACATAGACTCCGACGATGATTAAGCCGCGAGCAGCATCCGTGCGCACATAGATGGAGTGGTCGGAGTGTGCTCTGCGGAAACTGAGCTCCAGGAGAGTGAGATGGAGCTTCATGTACCATGCCCGAGGCGCTTGTTTGAGGCCGTAAAGTGATCTCCTCAGCTTCCACAGCATCTTGCTCGGCACCTCGCAGCCCTCAGGTGGCTCCATATACACATCCTCATCGAGCTCGCCATACAGGAATGCAGTCTTAACATCCATCTGGTGTAGCTCAAGGTTGTGAGCAGCGGCTAGGGCGAGTAGAACTCGGATGGACTGGAACTTCGCTACAGGAGCAAAGGTGACTGAGTAGTCGATGCCTTCTACCTGGGAGAAGCCCCGAGCAACAACTCGGCTTTTGTAACGCTCGAGCGAGCCGTTTGCTTTACGCTTTTTCTTGAAGACCCACTTTGAGGTAACCACTCTGCCAGCAGCTTCACTGCGTGGGACGAGCTCGTAGACGCCAGCTTTCAAAAGCGCACTCAGCTCCTCATCACAGGCTGCCTTCCACTGTGCCGCATCAACCGAGCTCATTGCCTGCCTATAAGACTGAGGGTCTTCGAGCTCGAGCACGCCGGCAGCCAGAGCTGCTGGGCTTAAGCCTGTCAAGGGCTCAGGGAGGCACGGGTGAGCAGGGTGGCATTGGGGATCTCCAGGTCTGCCAAGGTAGTTGTCGAGCTCGCTGTCATAGTCCTCATATGGCTGGGCGAGGAGACCTTGCAGGTTAGGGCGGATTGTTCTGCCTGAGCGGGTCCGAGGGAGGTTGGGATCGATGGGTTGCTCGATGGTGCGCTCTGGGATGGTGTCCCAGAAGTAGCGCTGGGCCACTGGTACTCTGGACAGTGCTCGCTCGGGGCCAGATGAGTGAGGGCGTCGAGGCTCAAGGTTGACTGAGCGAGAGGGTTGGTCTGGAGTCCGAGGAGCGGGTGCACCTGGGCCTGTAGGTTGAGCCGGTGTCTGCGCTGCCTGGTTAGATGCGGGCCACTGCATGGGAGGGCCAGGGCTAGTTGGGCGAGCTGGTGTGAGACCTGAGTGATCTCCCACTGCTCCCGAGCTGTCTCCTGCTGCTCCTGAGCCGTCTCCCACTGCTCCCGAGCTGTCTCCCACTGCCTCCGAGCTGTCTCCCATTGTGTCCGAGCTGTCTCTTTCCGACACCGAGCTGGTGCTGGATGCATGTCGAGCAGATCTGCCACCTCCCACTGCTCCTGAAACATCTCCCACTGCATCCACGAAGTCCTGAGCACTAGGTCGAGTGGATGCTCCATGAGGAGCAGTGCCAGGGTTGTCACCATGCATATGGGAGTCAGCCGAGCTCGGTTGCTGAGGTTCGGGCGGGGGGTGAGAGGACATGTTTGGGAGCTGAGTCACCAGCTCCGAGTAGGGAAGGCTGCGGGGAAGGGATCCGAGCATTGCTCGCTCCAGGTCCTCAAGCGAGACATGCGGTCTTCCGAGCCGAGCAGCCGAGGTATGCTCATCGAAGATCGCATCTCGGGACACCACCAGCTTCCGAGCTACTGGATCCCAGAACTTCCATGCCTTCTGGGTGTCTGAGTACCCAAGAAAGATGCAGAGGATAGCTCGGTCTGCAAGCTTGGCGGCCCGAGCTCCCTTGCGAATAAGCACATAGGCAGTGCACCCAAAGACTCTGAGGTCTCGCAGACTTGGCTTCCTGTTGAATAGAAGCTGATAAGGAGTTGTCGTGACTGAGCGAGAAGGTGCCCGATTCTTGAGGAACACAACAGTCTCAATGACCTGTGGCCAGAGTGAGAGAGGGATGCGCTCAGAGTGCATGATTGCGATAGCTCGCTCACAGATCACTCTATTGGCTCGCTCGGACACACCATTCTGCTGAGGGGTGTGGGCACAGCTCGTTTGGTGCGTGATCCCCTTCCCAGCTAGGTGCTCTTTGAACAGCCGAGACAAGTACTCTCCTCCATTGTCTGTCCTGAAGACTTTCACTCTGCGCTCGAGCTGACACTCTGCGTGTGCCTGCCACTCTTTGAAACACTTCAATGCATCCGACTTTTTGGCGAGGAAGTACACCCAGGTGTACCGAGTGTAGTCATCAATGAGGAGCATCATGTACCGAGCTCCCCCTTCTGACCGAGTTCCTATTTCGCATAAGTCTGAGTGAATGAGTTCAAGAGGGGCATCAGCTCGTGTGTCGCTAGAGTGAAAGGGGGGTCTCACAATTTTACCCATAGCGCAGCCTGGGCAGACAGAGGCAGTGTGCTTTGAGGAGTCCGAGGGGTTGCTCTGAGATGAGCGAGCGACCGAGCAGCCGGTGCTCAGGCCCCCGAGCAGTTTCTTCATAGAGCTGTCACTAAGGTGACCGAGGCGACGGTGCCATGTCTCCCAGTCAGCCTTAGCTCGGGTCTGTCGGAAACCAGGAGCAGCTGTTACAGCTGAGCGACTGGGCACAGATGCTGGGAAGGCACTGAGGATGCCATCAAGTGAGGCCAGAGAGTCCGAGCGAGCAGCCAGATGCGAGCAGGTGGGATCCAGCGAGCGAGTCATCTCCAGTGCACGAGCAACTTCAGCCGAGCGAGCGGACTCAGGCGAGCGAGCGAGTTTGGGCGAGCGAGCAGGTGAGAGCGAGCGAGGCGAAACTTGCAGGATGTAGTTGCCATCGATCTTAGTAGCTCGAGCAGCGACGTCCGATTTGTGCATTACTGCGCATTGCTGTTTTGCGAACTCGACAGAGGCTCCAGCCTCAGTGAGAGCATTGACCGAGCAGAGGTTGTAGGCCAGTCCAGGAACATAGAGTACACCTTGGAGGCCAAGGGCACGTCCCTCATGATTGAGCAAGCGAGCAGTTCCCTGGTGTGTCGAGTTGAGTGCTTTGCCATTTGCAACTGTAACTCGGCGAGGAACATCCAGCTGGGTGAGCTCGGTGAGCCAGCTCAGGTCACCAGTCATATGCCTGCTCGCTCCAGAGTCAATAACCCAACTCTTTTGAGCAACAGCGGCAAGGGCTGAGGGGTCGATGGTAATATCCTCAGCAGCTGCACGGACTTCCACTTGGAACAGAAACTCCTCCTTGAACTCTGAGTGAGACTCGAAGGTGGTCGAGGGGTCGGTCCGAGCCACTAGGGCAACATTGGCTGACTCCTCGCTCGGCTCTGTCTTGTGCTCCTTCTCCTCCTTCTTTCCAGAGCGTCGACCTCGGGGTCTGCGTCTCCCACCAGTAACGAGCTCATGGGGGCATTCACTGATCCAGTGAGTGATCGAGCCGCAACGCAGACAAGGGTGGTCCTTGCATGGGCGTTTCCCACCCTTTCTCAGGCCAGAGTAGAGTGCCTCAACGACCTGAGGGATGGCGACCGAGCGAGCTGCAGAGTTTGTGAGCTCGGAAGCAGCTGAGTCGAGTCCCATGGCGAAGGCCTTCACTGACGAGTCACCAGTCGAGTGACCTGCATTGACATTGAGGATCATGACTTTGAGCTCATCTCGAGATGGGAGTGTCGAGCGAGCCCAGAGCTGGTCTTTGAAGTTGTCGAAGCGAGGAGGGAGGCCTGCAATGATGACATTGAGCAGGAGGGAGTCGAGCCTGAAATCGAGCAGCTGGAGCTCCCTGTACTGCTGGAAGACGGAGTTGAGCCATGTCTCGACATCGTCATCTGATTCACAGCGTGATTCGAGGAACTTGCGGCCGACCGAGAAGACATATTGCAGGCCCGAGCTCCCATAGGTGGACTCGAGCGAGCACCAGAGGGTGCGAGCTCGGCAGTTCTTGTACTGAGGGTCGTCGAGGAGGTGTAGATACTCAGCAGCGATGGAGCGATCACAGGTGTAGAGTATCCCAGTCGCCACGAGCTCATCTCGAGCACTCCACCCTTCAGTGGCCTGCTGGGCAGGGCTAGAGTCTGAGAAGGTGAACTGTGCCGAGCTGCTGAAGCGAATGGCCAGTGTGACATCCTGCTTCCACTCTCGCCAGTTTTCCTTGCCGAGAAGTTTCTGGACTGAGTCGAACTGTTTGATATCGAGTTTCGAGCTGGGAGCAGACATGATGGCTTGCTCAAAATCGAAGAGGTTGCCGAGCAGGTGATCAGTGGTGTCGAGCCAGGTGAGCGAGCTCGTGCGATGCTTAGGGTGGTATGGGTTGTCGAAGAATGAAGTTGAGTGAGCGAGCCAGTCGTGCCAAAGTGACATGCAGTGCTCAGCTTTGTCGAAAATTTTCGTTGGGGCGCGCTCAGATAAGAGGTGCAGCTACTGGACTGTATGTCGAGCACTGGGACTCAGATCGGGCAGATGCAACACTCAAAGGAAGGTTTGACCGTGCTCAGAGCGTAGAATCGAATGATACTAGACTGAGAGGGGACGGCTTGGGCTCATAACCTGTTGTAGAGTACCGAGCTGGTGCTGGATGCATGTCGAGCAGATCTGCCACCTCCCACTGCTCCTGAAACATCTCCCACTGCATCCACGAAGTCCTGAGCACTAGGTCGAGTGGATGCTCCATGAGGAGCAGTGCCAGGGTTGTCACCATGCATATGGGAGTCAGCCGAGCTCGGTTGCTGAGGTTCGGGCGGGGGGTGAGAGGACATGTTTGGGAGCTGAGTCACCAGCTCCGAGTAGGGAAGGCTGCGGGGAAGGGATCCGAGCATTGCTCGCTCCAGGTCCTCAAGCGAGACATGCGGTCTTCCGAGCCGAGCAGCCGAGGTATGCTCATCGAAGATCGCATCTCGGGACACCACCAGCTTCCGAGCTACTGGATCCCAGAACTTCCATGCCTTCTGGGTGTCTGAGTACCCAAGAAAGATGCAGAGGATAGCTCGGTCTGCAAGCTTGGCGGCCCGAGCTCCCTTGCGAATAAGCACATAGGCAGTGCACCCAAAGACTCTGAGGTCTCGCAGACTTGGCTTCCTGTTGAATAGAAGCTGATAAGGAGTTGTCGTGACTGAGCGAGAAGGTGCCCGATTCTTGAGGAACACAACAGTCTCAATGACCTGTGGCCAGAGTGAGAGAGGGATGCGCTCAGAGTGCATGATTGCGATAGCTCGCTCACAGATCACTCTATTGGCTCGCTCGGACACACCATTCTGCTGAGGGGTGTGGGCACAGCTCGTTTGGTGCGTGATCCCCTTCCCAGCTAGGTGCTCCGGCACGGCGAGCTCGCCGCGGCGAGCTCGGTGGCACCATTGACTGAGTTCTCCAACACTTCGTTGGACTGTAAAAACCCTCGAACAACAATCGGAGCCTGGAAAGGGATAGGGGAAGGAGGAGTCAATGAAAAGAACATGAGCATCCACTCCCTTGACGTGTACAGTATTGGACGCGAAATCTGGCGAGCTGGCGAGGAAGTCAAAGACGAGGCTGACAGCGTGTTGATGACGGATGATTCGAATTCTACCTGAGGGCTGAGCGCAAGCAGCGAATGAGCCGTTCATCTGAGACAACGGACGTAATGCCACGCTCATCGACCGTTGCGGGGAAGAACGTGTGCACTGCGGCGCACAACCCCCACATCCACAGTCAGTTCCACTATGGGCGCTATCGCGTGGGACCGGATCAAACAGTCTACCTAACATTCTGACGCAGCTCGCTTCTCTTCGCAGATCGCAGACGCCCTCCGCGGCTAAGACGTAGCGCAGCTGAAGTCCAGCGATCCAGCAGGAATCCACAGCCCCCCTTGCCCCGCGCCTTAGGCTATCTACCCCTTTTCCTTTCCCAGTGTTCAGAACCTGCTCCTTCTTACCCGTCTGCCGCCTGTCTCATCGTCACCAGGGAGGCATTGCTCTGACCGGTGAGTGTTACGCAGTCCGAAATCCACAGAAATCCACAGCAGTAAGGATGGGAGTATGAGTAGCGTGAAAGACTGCGCAACTGCCTCGACTCTACCGTGTACCGTCCCGTATGAATCATGTGACCAGCTCAACAGGCCAAGCACTGGATTCCCGGTGCACTTCAACCAACATCTTCTCAATTGTCCCGACTTCAACTCCTGCCACATCACCTCGCCAACCTGCCATCAGTATGGCTTTGCCATGGCATCTATCCATCGACCCCGAAATGGAGCCGCGAGACTACGACCATTGGCCGAAACACCCGGAATGGCGCCATCGGTACGACTTTCTTGTCGCGACGCCTCCGCCTCTCGCCACTACGTGCTACTCCTCCGCCGTCACCTACCACGCTTCGGTTCTGCCATTGGTTCGCTACCACTTCGAGGCATTTCATTGGGGACATGACGGCTCACACATCACGCTCCGGGCTGACATCGACGGTGCACTACACAATGCTCTCAGCCTGTTTGACATCGTCGTCGATGCCTACCTCACCCATGGGCTCATCTGCAACTCGAGCTGGTGGACACTCCAGAATGAGGGTTTCAAGGAGCCATTCTTCGAGGTTATATATGACCTTCGGTCCTATCTTCGTGTGATCCATGCCATTGCAGGTGAGTCGAGACTTTACGCTTTCAAAATCTCTATTTTCTGAGGGAGGGTGCCTGACACTTCGAAGTACTCTTCAGTCGCGAGGTTCACACATTGTCATCACTCGAAAGCGCGCACGATGTCCCTTCCCACTGGGCCTCTCATCCTCACGACGTGACACTCTCTCCCGACCTCCTGGACAACGAGAAGATGCCCCCACTTCTACGTCAGGCGGACGACTACGTCTTTCGTCTCTGCAGGCTATTCACCGTCCGTCCTTCGTTCACGGAAGCACTGGATCAGACTCTTGCCAGGGCAAGGGAGCAGGCTGATAGCGTGAGTGAATGGGCGAGGAAGGAGGTTGGAACAACCCAGCACCTCAGTGACTACTTCGTAGGATTCAAGCAAAGGTACGCAAATACGTGTTCCGTGTCCTGACGCTGACTGGTAAGGCGCTCGAACTGCATTCAAATCGCGTTCCCCATGGCGAAGAAAAACCTGATGGACTTTCTGGATCGACCCCTTGAACCCGAACGAGTGATCAAATTTTGGCCATTTGCCGAGCAGCCTGCCCTCCCCGCCGTGAAGGACTAGAATTCCGTCACGAGCTGCTCGCTCCGTCCCCAGATGATACGCGATCGCCGCTCTGGAATCAAGCTGCACCGTATCGCAGAGCGCACCGGTCTTCCTCTGGGACAAGCGGTTTCTTCAGCCCGTTGAAGGCGATAAGCAGCCCCCCACGCGCCCATCGATGAGAGGAAGATGTCGGGAGCGGCTTCGACGTGCCCTTCACAGTGGGGAGCGGTGTGACTGGAAAGGATGCACATTGTATTCTGTGAATTCGAGCTAAGGCTGTCCCCGCATCAAGCAGCAGCAAGTTAAGGTCGAGGTCCGAGGGCAGAGATGGGGCACAAGTAGCCCATTGGCACTCTATGACGGTTTGTACGCCGGTCATGCGGCGATGAAAGGCAGAAGGATAAAAGCTGCGGGGAGCATTGCGCAGCGGTCAGCGGGCGCGAACGTCCAAGGCACTAATGGGCGACGACGGGGTAGCGGCCCGAGACATCGGAGGGGCGTACCGCCGCCCTTCTTCTCAAAATCATGAGCCATGCGATAGTGTCAGATGACTCGAAGGCCCTTGCACAAACCGATCGTCTAGACGAGCAATATCATACTGTAAAAAGAGGGAGGCGAGCAGCAGGAAGGCGTTGAGGTCCGTGCCCATGGCAACTGGCCGAGAGGCTCAGCAATGTAGCCTGCCACATTCACCGATCGTTGACCACTGGCCTATAACCTTGGTGCACTCTGCCTGCTAATTGTTGCCCACGAGGAAGTTGACGGTGCTCATCCGCCAATCTACTTACTCGAAGAGCGACGGCGATGCAGGGGAAAAGCAGCATGGGATCTTGCAAAATAGCACGCGTGTTATGGCAAGACGCACCGCTGAAGGAGTGCCACCGCTCGAGGACCCGGAGGTCGGAAGGGTTAGGCGAGTGAAACGAAAGGGTCATGCGCGGCATGTGCGCTGATCCGCCCACTGCGCTGGTACGCGCTGGTGCGGTATGCAGCTCCGAGCTCGCATGCCAGGTACATTCCGTCACGACCTCGGTCATGTGTCCCATCCTCTGAGTAGCGTATTCAAGCCCTCAATGTCTTCAATGCCTCGGACATGACGAAAGGTACAGCATGAATGCAAGAGCGCCGTTCCAGTAGTCCAGCAATCCGCATTCTTCTGGCGCGATGCGTCGGATACATGCCCGCACGGCCTGATCGCCCGAGTACGCCTTCGGAGATCCGAGAGGGAGGGCCAGTATCGCGGAGGCGGCCGCAGCGTGCCGCCGAGAGATCCGACGTATGCAACGAGGTGCTTAGCGCCGTCTGATCTGTCCGCGTGACCACAGCATACCACTTGATGCGGCATGCAAGAAACCCCTGCCCACCACGCCGTACGCACTACCTCTCCGTGCTCCGTCCGCCGAAGCACCAGAACCAGGATGGCGACTGAACAAGGCAGAACACACGTTTGCCCACTATCCGGTACCGCTAGCCCACATCTTGTTTCGGCTTCAACTTTACGCACATAAAGTCCTTTCGCCTTGCCTTGCGTCTAATGACTGGCTCTTAGCTCTTCGTCCAGTGCGACCAAGGCCGTGCGACAAAGGCCGGCCTCCGAATCTTATCTACCCTCACCGGGGCGAGCATCCTTGCATAGCAGCTCGGCAGCGAGGATGCGGAGCGGGGACGCTCCACCGATCCACTGTGGGTCCATTCTGGTCTGGACGCAGAAGCCGGAGAGTTGTAGGTCGCACATCCCCAACAAAAGTTGAGAAACGTGTGCACTCCTCCCCCAAAATGTACCGGGCACATGAGCATGTGCCAGCGTTGCTTATACTGCTAGAGGTTCTTGTCGAACCGAGTTCTGAATGGCATGAATGGTTCCAGTTCCTGGGCATCGACGAGGCACGCTGGCGTCGCAGAAGAGGTCAAGAGGGATTGGAAGGGATCGAGAGGAAAGGTACGGGGAGGATTACGGCACAACCTTATTTCTCGATCACGCGGCGACTCTGTGCGGTCTGGCAGTCTACGGGTCTTGCTCTGATGCCGTCACAGGTTGCACCTGCTGCATCGTGCACAGTCAAAACGATCACTGCGCTTCGCTTCATGTCGCTTACGCTTCCGCGCCATCGGCGTCAAGAATGCACCAACGTGATCACGCTCGTTATACTGTCACCGCGTGCTCATATCGCCGTCACTGCGCCGATGACTGCATGGCTGACTTTAGCTCATGGTATGGCGAGCCGTGGCTGAATGCCGGTGATCTCGGCACGAAGGTTGATACGATCTGGGAAGAGATCGCTCCAAACGCTCCACCTGAACTTTTGCGACAATCACGTTCAGACACGATTCAGTCGATACGGCTTAGTGTGCCCGCTGACGCCCGCTCTTGCGCAGAGTCCGGCTGAACCCACCATTTGAGCCGTAATCTGATAATTCGTTGGGGACTTGGTGCAGTTCTGCGTTTCTGGACCACATTGCTTCCCATTCACTCTTGCTCGACCCAGAACACATGCCTTTAGCTCCCCGCCGGCTCTGGGTCTGGGTTGATTCGAGTACCTTATCTGCTCTATGCCTGCTGCTGCGGGGTTGCCAGAGTCCTCTGTCTGCTCTGCTTCCTTTGATCCTCAGTCGATTCGCCTTCGCGCTGACGCACGATGCACCACCGATGTCCCAGGGTCTGTTGTCACTCAAGGTACACATGATCATTTCATCCACCCTCTTATTCGTTACCAGTCCTTCGTAGTTCTGTTCCCCACGCTTCACAGGCTCCCCACGCTGCCCCATGCATGCCATCATACCCATCCTGCCCAACGCCTGGCGCGCTGCAATCGGCTGCTCCACATGCAGCACTTGAGGTACTTAACGACACTATGCGGGCGGCGCCGCCCCCTTTCTCTTCTTTCTTCTCCTCCGAGCTCGTCGTAGCTGCTTGGTACCAGCACCATTTACCATTGTGCTCGTAACTCCCTGCGCCTGCTTGCCTCAGACTCAGACATCTCCTCACACAAAGCCTCATTCTCAACCTAGACAAAGATCTGCGAGCACATCACCACCAGGTCTTGCACACCTAAATATTGTACATCTCGGCGGACGTAGTCCTTCCCTGTCTCTCCTCGTATTCATCTCTTGCGTCACTGCTCCGAACGGGCGCCCGTACAGCTCACAGCCTGTGCAGCCCGTACTTCCCATACAGCACAGCTATCTCCGCTGTTGACCTCGGACTACTCCGACATTCCGACCGGCGAACAGCACGCAGCACGAGAGCCCGAGGCTACCTCTGCCACTGTCTGTCGACGCATGTCCCCGCCGCGCACCGCTTTCACTGCTGGGCGTTGGCTCCTGGTGTCGCTGAGCACCACGCACTGGATCACTTGATTTTGAACAATCCTGGCGGTGCGCCCCCTTCCCATCACTCTACTGCCGCTCGGCTAGGCCAGCTGGCTCATCGCGATATCACGAGACTCTCACGTCTTGAGTCTTGCGTTCCCTGGAACGACGATTTTACACAACGAAACCAAGCAATTGGTCGCTGGACGCCAGTGCGACAATCACGGCTTGTGACTGTCTCGGCGCTGGAGCGCAGCACATAGTATACAAAACGACGCAGGTGGTCGTCACGGATTCCTGGGTGGTGTGACCGTTTCCCTCCCTGCAACCTGCGTCTCCCGCCGCCGCCGCCCCTTGGCCTACCTCCACCGCGCGCGATCTGGCGGCCTCCACCGGGTACAAGCAGCATTCCGCAAACCGGACCCCCTTGGTCCTCGCACCTGTCACGCTCCCTCACGCCAAACCACAGCGACCCCCTACCTACCAAACATCCGCGCTGCACTTGTTTTTTGCCTTTTCATACTCTGCGACTTTTTATCGCTTCCTCGACCCAAAGACTTGATCGGCCCCGCCGGCCGTGCAGTACGGGCACGCCGACGCATCGACCACAAGCACCGCTCCCTGTCGACAGGAAAGCCGGAGACGCCCGACGCCCGACGCCCGAAAGACGATTCAACGACCGACCGATCACGACACCTGAAAGAGCCGGGTGTGCCCCTGAGCTGCGTCCGCTCGGCCCTTGACGACTCTTGGTTGTCCATCAGATCAATAGCAACGACACCTTCATCAACACCACCTCTGCATCAGCAATTCAGGCATCAGGCATTCCCATCAGGCATCACCGCATTCATCACCCTCATCATTAGTGCATCGCAATATAGGCACCGCAGCATTCTCTCCTCTCCTCCTCCTCAAAACAAAGGCGCGACAGCACCCAAGACACGACACACGAGACACTGCGACGAAGGACGCTAAGCTTTTCGCGCAACTTTGGTAAGTCACCCACAGCACACCCCCTGCCCCTCTCCGCTGTCATGTGCCCCTCTCCCCCATGCATGCTGCACACCCCCTCCTCCCACCTGGCATGCCAGTCGCGCGTCCATCGTCGCCGTCGCCGCCGTCCTCAGCATAGAAGCAACTCGCCACCGCACACCCGGCCTCCGTCACCCTGTGTACCCCGTGCCCCTCGACGGCGCCTTCCCTTGTCACGCTCGCCAGCCAACTTGCCACCCACTAATCGACCCGTCGTGTCGAACGTGTCTGGGCAAGCCAGCCAGCCAGCCAGCCAGCCTCCAGTGCACCGACCGGTCAACCAGTCAGCCAGTCAGAGAGTGGTCGCGCGGCGCCGAGCGTGCCGTGCATTGCTGTATGTGGACGAGGTGCCGGACTGTCTGCCGTGCATGTGCATTGGACGATCACAGCATTTTAAAGCTCTGCATCCGGTCTGACCCGTGTGCCCTGGTCGGTTGCCCCGCCGAGCCCCGCGATTGCGCCGCTAGTGCCGCTCGCTTGTTGGTCCGTTGGATCAGAACGCTCGCTTGCGGCCGCTCTCTCGTTGCGGTGGCGGCGCATGGCGGCGCCGTCAGGGGCAGTGCGTCTCGATATCGTTCGTCCATTCATTCATCACAAACACGCCTACAAGCCTAACCCGGCCGCGTGGGCGCTGGTCCAAACCATCGATTCAGCCAGCCTGACCTCTATCCCCCTCCTCACATTCACGACCGGTGCGATTCACCGATTCACTCTTCCCTGTTGTTGCTCCTGTTCCTGTCTGCCTTGCACTACTCGCTCGCTTGCCCCCTCCGATCCTCACTCGACCCACGGCGCACGGCGGCGAATCGCATCTCATCTCCCCCTTCCCCCGTCGCAACCATCCCGTCCTCTCTTCTTTGATCTTCGCGCGGTCCGGTGTTGACATCATCCCCAGTCACAAGTCTCCTTTCTCACTCGCGCCGACTCTTGTAACGAACAGGCCCCCGCACGCCAACGCCAACGCCCCCCGACGTTTGCACGGCCGACACGACCCACAACGATTCACGATCTGCCCCGCCCACGATCTTGCATCTCCATCCTCACCCTTCTCCCAAAGCACGCAACCTGAAACGAAGCAACCCCCACCCGACTCTTCCCCTCCTCCCTACATCTTACCTACCGCTTCGAGTGCGCGTGCCGTTCCTCGTCCCTGTCTCCCGGCCCAAGACAAACTTTGCGCTCGTCTCCGACAGACAATCCGAGTAGACACATACACAACCTCGCGCATACACGCCTTGCATCGGCTTCCGAACCTCGAGACATCGCGCCGGCACGCCGACAATTGCAGTTGCAGGACATCCGCCTGACTGTTGTCTTGGATAGAACCAAGAAACTGCATAGGAACAGTCTCTCCCTGTGCACAGATACCGGGGGCTGAAACGCCGCCGGTTGAGCGCTTGGGCCGCAATCACCCGTTGACCTGTCGAGCTCAACGCTCGAGCCCGAAGTGCAAGTCGGCAACTGGTGCAAATTCTCTTCTGCTCTCCATCGACGCAGCAGTCGTTATCAACAACAACGCTGGGCAAGCATCGCGCGGAGCCTCGGTTAGTCGGAAGCAGCAGCAGCAGCATCGCTACGTGATCCGCCTGCTCGCCCACCATTCGTCCTTTCCCCTCCGCCTAGGTCGCGAGTGTTGCGATGATGGCAGTTTCCGCGCCCGTCTTGCCGCCTTCGTTCGACCACACCAGCCCGATGCGGAGCCCTCCCGGACCGTCCAAGACGACTGTCGACGTCCTCGGTCCGCCGTCCCCGAGTCCTGCGTACATGCCTAGGGGCGTGCTTCTCGAGCCCGATGTGCGCAAATCAGTCTTACCACCGACACCTGACCCTTCGCCGCCAGCGCGACTGTTCCCGACCGCCATGGTTGCCTTGGCTCCACCGGCAGACGACAACAGCAATGACTCATCAGCGATCTACACTTCTTCTGCGATGGAGAGTTCCGCTTCGAGCTCTTCGTCGTCGCACTCGACGAACGAGAGCCGCTCGCCGGGATTGATCGACGCGAACTCGAACTCTTCAGTGCAGCTTCAGCGATCACCGTCGCCAAGGAAGCCTGCCAGGCGAGGCATGTCCAGATCGGAGACGGCACCCAACCTCGCCCCAGGCAGCAACCGCAACTCGTTCAGCCGAGTCAAGTCGTATGACACGAAGGAGCGCGAACGTGAGCAGCGCGACCGCGATCGACGGAACCTCGGACGGCGGCAGACCACGGCTGGCCACCCTGGACAACCCACTTCTGTCCGTATGGTCGAGAGCCGGAGCGCGGACTCTCGGACTCGCCTCCGTTCAACTGGAGGACCGAAGCTTACGCGCTACCCGACTCTGGCGACTGAGTACCCCAGCGCGCGGCTGCGGCGGACAGTGACGCACGACAACTCGTCCCCGTCCACGCCGCCTCCCTCCGCCGCCTCTGCACGCCCCCACAGCCACCACTTGACCCTTGCCGAGCCCGAGCAGCTCGACTTTGGAGGACCAAATGGCCTCGAGGCCAAGCTTGTCCTGCTCGGATCGCAAGGCGTCGGTAAGACGTCTCTGATCCTGCGCCTCACGACCGGGACCTTCAACGCGGAGCGCGCGTCGGCGTCGGTCGAGGGATCCGTGTACAAGCGCAAGCTGGAGCACAACGGACATCCGATCAAGCTGCAGATCTGGGACACGGCCGGACAGGAGCGCTTCCGATCGATGGCGCCGATCTACTACCGAGGTGCACACGTGTGCATCCTCGTGTACGACATCTCGGACCGCAAGAGCTTCCAGGACGTGCAGTCGTGGCTGGACGAGCTCAACCACAAGGCGTCCAAGGATATGATGATCTACGTCGTCGGCGCCAAGCTGGACCTCGGATCCCAGCGTGCTGTGACTTTGTCTGAGGCGAGCCGCACGATCCGGCGGTGGCTGAATCCGGCGCCTGAGCCCGAGCCCGAGCCGGAAGAGGTGCTCGCCCCGACTCGCAGCCTGTTCCGGAGCACATCGACAACGCGTCCTCGCAGCGACTCGATGTCGCTCCCGTCGCCGCAGAGAAGGCCGCACTCGATGCACGGGCTCGCTTCGCTCATGCTCGCTGCGACCGACTTTGACTTTGACCTCAGCGCCAGCACGAGCGGCAGCGGGTCGCAGGCACCGACGCTCGTCGCACCGAGTCCCGCGCCGACGGTCCACTTCCCGCCCTCGCTCGTGACGCCGACCAGCATCCCGGGCGTGCCCACCAGTGCGAGCAGCACGGCGTCTGTCGCGGGCAGCGTCGGCTCTCCGCCCAGCACGGGCATGTACCGACGGCAGCAGCGTGTCAGCTTCCACGGCCCTGCCCTTGCGGAGCCGACGAGTGCGACGACGGCCGAGACAGCAGTCGCCTCGACAGCTAACGGCTCGAAGCATCGGCTGTCGACGAGCCGCTTCTCCCTCAGTGGCATGTTAGGACTCGCGCGAAGCCCGACATCCGACGCCGTGGCCAACTTATCGCACCTGGCCGACGCGAACCCGGTCGTGTCGCCGCGCAGCCCGCGACCTTCCCTCTCGCCTGGAGTCCGCGTTCGCACCGAGTCGAGCCCGCTCTTGGACGGTAAGCGGCGGAGCGAGGACTGGAGCGCAACTGGCCCTGGCTGGGGACGCGGCGAGGGACCCTCGGCCGCCGACGCGCTGGAAGAGTTTGGTGCCGCTGCCGCCTCTGCGACAACCTGGCAGAGCCAGTCCGCGCAGAGCTCGCCGTGGGCCATCTCGCCTGCGCCGTCCTCGCTGCCCGTCCCGCGCACCCGCCTCCGCGGCGGCAGCCTCGGGCGTGACACGCGGTTATTCGAGGACGAGTCGTCCGACGACGAGCCCGACGACACGTGGGGCATCGACATTGGCTCGGTCCGCGTCGGCGAGGTGTCGAGCCTGACTGGCGAGGGCGTCGAGAGCCTTCTGCGCAGCATCTCGGCGCAGCTCATCGAGCGCAAGGACAAGATTGAGCGCGAGCACACGCTCCGCAGGAAAAACAGCGTCATGCTGACCGACCCGGCCAAGGACAAGCGGCCCGCGAAGAAGGGCGGTTTCAGCTGCTGTGCGTAGGCCGGCGAGCGCAGCGAGCCCCAGTCAATGCTCCGACCGACCCACAACCTCACACTTTCCACCCCTGGGTCCGCGAGACCTCCCAATTTACCAAGCAACTTTTCACGGCATATTCATTCTCCATCAGCAGCAACATTCAAGCACACGTTTCATCATGGTTCTTCCCCGTCTCCTTCCCTCTCTCTCTGTACACATAATCGGCGCGCCGACGCTCCTTCATTCAAACTTTGACGACTACGCTACCTGCCCGGCATTCTCTCATATACATAATACCCCCCACCACCCCTTCTCTCTGCAAAACATGTACAAGCACTGCCCGCACCGTTTGACACGGTTGTTTCTCCCTAGCCCGTATGCATCTGTTCGCACTAGTCTACGTACACTGCGCCGAGCGGCGCCAGCCGCGACGGCGCTATCCACTGTTAAGTGTTGCTGCTTCAGTCGATGCCAAGGCGCCAGCGCGACCTCTAGTCATCGCCAGCGTTAGCCTTGGCAGTAAGCTGTGCCTGCTTGATGAGTGCCTCTGGCGCATCGTCACGGGGCATGTCGAGCTCAATGAGGCGGATCTTGGTCGGCTCGGAGAAGTCCTTGTCCTTGAGGAGACGGTCGAGTTCCTCCTGACTCTTGACCTTGAAGCTCTCGGTCTGCTCCCTCTTGGGTCCGGAGAGGAAGGGCAGGAGCAGCTGGTGGTCGTAGGGCTGAATATCGTTGTACTTGGCGTGTTTGCCGTGAATCTGGCGCTCAATCTCGTACCCGTCATTGTTAAGCACAAACAGATACGGTTTCTGGCCGCGGCGCACCATCGTGCCAATCTCCTGGACTGTGAGCTGCAGCGATCCGTCGCCGACAAAGAGGACTGTGCGGCGGTCCTGCTTCTGCTCGTCGCTGGCGAGCACACAGCCCAAAGCGGCGCCGACACTCCACCCAATCGCGCCCCAGAGCACTTGGGCGACATAAGTCACCCCTTTGGGGAGGGGCACGGAGAGCAGGCCGAACGAACTCGTGCCCGTCTCACAGATGACAATGTCGTTTTCGCGAATCCAAGACCCCATACGGCCCCACAGCCACGCCTGGGTGATCTTGCCCTTCGGATCGAGGGGTGCGTCGTAGAGCTTCTCGCACAGCCCCGCGTCAATCTTCTCAGCGACGGTGTCGCGCTTGCTCTTCGGCTTGCCCTGTTTGTCAACCACCTCCTTGAAGGCGGGGATGAGGGCGGGCACGACGTGCCGAATGTCCGTGGTGGGATAGGACGCATAGCCAATCTCGGTCGTGTAGCTGTGCAGGCGGATGGCATAGTCCTCGGGGATCTTGACACTGAAGGAGCCACTGTTGAAGTCGCTCTTCAGCGCACCAACGTACAGCACGAAGTCGGCCGATTCCACATCCTTGATCACCTCGGGGAGGAGGTTCTGGCCCGCATAGCACCCGCCATACAGTTCCGAGCTCTCGTCGAGGACGCACTTGCCCATCGGCGTCGTGAAGAAGCGGAGCCCGCACTCGTCGACGAGTTTCTTCAGGTGCGGGCCCACGCCGAAACGCGCCGCACACGCGTCGACGAGCACGATCGGCTTCTTCGCCGCGGCGAAGCGCTTCGTGATCTCCTTCACTACCGTCTTTGTCACTTCCTCGCTGGTCGCGTACGCCGGCGCGCGCTCGGCCTGGAAGAGCACATTCGTCGGCTCCTGTGCGCCGGCGAGGGTCGTGCGGCGGAGCGCGCCGTACGGCGGCGGGTCACTGGGACGGGGAAGGGGGTGCTTCAGCCCCTCATCGGAGACCTTGACGTGGAGCACGTCCATGGGCAGCTCGACGTAGGCGGGGCGACACTGCGTGAGGCATGCGCGGACAGCATCGTCAAACACGTCCGCGTACGTGCGCCTCGTCTCGGGCTGCACGTCGTTCAGCGTCGCGGTCGCACACGACAAAGGCTTGGACATGTCGCTGAAGGTCGTGAAGGTGCCCGGCGTGTTGAGCGTGTGGTGCAGGAGTGCGTGCTCCGACTGCATCTTTGTGTTTGGCGCGCCGACAATGTGCAGCACGGGCACGCGCTCCGCCAGCGAACCGGCCACGCCGCACAGAGCACTCAGCTCGCCCACGCCGAACGTCGTCACGAGCACCGCGAGGTTGTTCTTGATTCGCGCATAGCCGTCCGCGGCATAGGCCTGGGGTTAGCGGGGCCGAGCGGTAGCGAGGCGGAGCGGAGCGAGGCGGGCATGAGCAAGAGGCGTAAAACGCTTAGGGAGGGGTGGCACACTGTGGCGGTGGGAGGACGTCGATACACGATACTCCGACCCGTTCCACCACCCTGGCACCAGGTATCTGGGAACTAGCACGCCATGCCTCGCACAATGACGTCTCCATCCAGGCGAGGAGCAGGTGAGATCGGCGGGATCGGCGTCGCAATCTGTGTACGCAGCCACACTCCGACATTTCCTCCCAACCACATCAGCCACACCGTCACATCCTCCGTGGCTAGCATCACCCATCTCAGCGGACGCATGCACAGTAGAGGACGCAGAGGCTGATCGGCCAGTATCGCGGCGTGATCGCGCGTCTATTCCTGGAACGACGATCCCGGCATGCAACGCCAATCACGCAGCGGTTGGGTCTTATCACGGCCGGGTTTGGGGGATGCGTCGTCGGGTCCGACGTTCCGATCGGAGAGTCTCGATCATGTCTCTGCGTGCTCTTGCGATCCAATGTCTCGCAAATGGGCAGTCGAAGGAAAGTGGTGCTCGCTACGCTCACCGCTCTCGCAGGCTCGCAGTACTCACAGCATTCAGTTCGTTGGCGTTTCCAACCCACTCGAGAACGGGGTCGCGCTCAAAGTAGTCGAGGAATTCGAGGTTGTAGTCGCCCGGAACGCCAAAGACCTAGAAAGGCGAGCAGTCAGTGAGTGTTCTTCTGCCGAGCCGCAGAACCCTTCCAGACTTGGGAAAGAAGGCAGCAGCACTTACTTGCTTGACGCCGGCCTGCTTGAGGCGTTCGACAATGTACTCCGCGAGTTCGATATCGCGGCCCATGATTGCTTTGCTTTCTGGCTATGTCAAGGGGCGGGGTGTGAGGTGGTGGTGCCAACAGCCATGACCGAGGTCTTGCGATCTTTATATACACTTGTTGCGTGCATTGCCGTGCGGTGACGGCAACAGCGACGTCTCCCATGTTCCACAGCTTCAGCTTCAGGCTGAGCCTCGGGCTTGGCGGCGCGTTGATATGACGATGGACAATGTCCGATGGGAATTTCGGTCCACCACTGACACATGACGTCAAAGCTGGCGCCCCTCCCATGCTGGCGGAGTAAGAATAGCCCACGGCTCCAGGAAAGAAATGTCAGGCCGAAGCATTCCTATCGCTCGCAAGGTCATGATAACAACCAAAGGCACACGTCAAAATCCACGTGGGCACCACACCCTTGCCACGCTCCACACTGCACGCCCGCCGCGAACATTGCGCGCCCAAAGGTCAACGATGACCGGTAACCAACACGCCGACACCTGCACCGGACCGCACACTAACTTTGCACTTTCCAGTCCGTCACACCGCTTTACCTCGATCGACACTCCGCTTTCGCTAGCACCGTCAAGTTCCCCGCGTGCTCGCTTCGCTTCTCAGTCTCCTCAGCCTTCGCTCCGTTCGCTTCGCTCACTCCCCTCACTCGTCCCACGGTGTCCTCCATCCGCCTCCGCCCCTTGCGCCCGTCCGCGTCCATGCCGCTCCTGCCGACGTCTGGCAATGGGGGAGGGTACGCGTACGGCGAGGTGCCGGTCGCCAGGCGGGGCATGCCCGTGCTGCTGAGGCGGTTGACAAAGTTCAAGTCGATGGTAGGTACCACGAGCGCAGCGAGTGGGAACGTCATGCTCTTTTGCACTCCCACCATCGAGCCGTCGACATTCTGGCTACAAGATCATGATGTGGCTCAATATGTGGCCAGGGAGGATCGGGGAGCACAGGAAGGCGTCCAGATCGAGCTCACTCGCTCCTCACTCCGCTCGTCGCTCGTTGCTGACACATAGGACTTCGAACTCGCCCTCCAGCAACTGACGTACCTCGTCGTCGCCCCGCGGCGAGTCTCAAAGCAGGCGTACTACCACAAGCAGACGAAGAATGTGTGGGCGAGGGATGAGTGAGTCAAGCCGACCGGAGGGCCGAAGGCCCGGAGGTCGTTCAGCTGAGACTCGTCCAGAACATCACTACTGTCCTGGGGGGACGTCCTCGGGTTCCTTGGAGAAGAGGCATTGCTGGGGTTGTTCTGGCTCTAGAAGTCTGGACATCTGGACTCTTGAGAGAAGACTGTAATTCCGCCCATCTCGCGGACCCCCCTTTTTGGACAAGGACCCGCAGCTTGACCGGTTCCGAGCATTAGCTGACCAACCAGCCCCGCCATGCTCCTCCTCATCGCCGGCTTCATCTCCGCCGCCGGCCTAGTGTGGGGATTCATCTACAGCCTGTCCTGGCCCTCGACATTGGCCCTAGTGCTCAAGATGATCTTCCGTAAGCTATTTTCTTCACTTTCGTCGCCAGCTAACGCCCGATTCAGGCGACTTTATAGCTCTCGCCCTTTTGTCAGCGTTCATCTTCTACCAGACCGCCAACAGGCTCCTCCTCTCGACCTCGGCGACGGGACAACGAGAGAAAGTCGAGTTCGCATACGCCTTCGACGTGGCCGTGAACGCCTTCTGGCCCCTGTTCCTCACGCTCTACTTGGGTCTGCTGCCTCTTGCCGCGCTCGTCGTGCGGCGCAACTGGGCAAGTCTGTTCCTCGGCAATTCCCTGTTTTTGCTGGCGCTCGGGCAGTATGTGTATGTGACGTATCTGGGATACTCGGCGCTTCCCTTTGTCGCCCGCGCCGAGTTGTTTCTGGCGCCCCTGCTCCCGCTCGTCGTTGGGTGGGTGCTTAGCTTGCTCGGGCTCAATGTGGCGCGCTGGGCACTCGAGACGTACTTTGGTCGTCCTTGGTAGAATCACTATAGATGCGATGGATGGGATAATGAGAAAATAACTGGACGCGGTACAGATTTGTGTGTGTGTGTGTGTGTGTGTTTGGCATCGAAAATTACTATAAACATGAGAGATAAAGTGTCCATTTCTGAACGAGTGAAAAGAGACGACTTTCCATACTCCTACAACTGGCCCAAGGTCCACCTTGGGCCACACTGGCTCTCTCCTTCCCCATACTCTCGGCACTCCGCACTCAGCACTCCCTAGATCGGACCGGCTCGACATCACACGACTCACGAGCGCCTCGCTTCGCTCGGCTCGCTCAATCCTGGTGCAACGGCGGGTCCGCCGTCAGCGTGTACTCTTTCCTCGTCGAGTTGAGCGCCGCCTCGAGCCCGCTTCCCCAGTCCTCGTGCCCGTCACTCGACACAGCCTTGGGCAAGCGGAGCACAGACCCGTTACCTTCCGAGCTCGGGCTGGACTTTGGCGGACTTCCGCTGCCGCTGCCGCCCGGACTGCCGCCCGTACCGAGGGCGGCCTCCTCGTCCTCGCTCAGACGGGGGACGGGCTTGCGCCGCGAGCTGATCTTGCGCTCGAGGCTGCGCTCGACGGGCTCGGCGGGCGCGGCTGCGTACGCGCTCGGGACGGGGGCGCCGCCTGCAATGTTGCTAGGTGTTGCTGGTGTC